GCCTTCTCACAGGGAACAGAGGGTTTGAGTGGGCTCTAGGGCACAAATCTGGTCAAAAGAGATCCACCTTCACAATCTAATTACCTCCCAATGTCCTGACCTCCAAATACTCCTGTCAGGTTGGAGAGTAGCAATCTAACAGATGAGTTTTGGGAGGATGAAAACATTCAGTCCATAGGACATATAAAGCATTTTTATTTATTTAAAATTAATTTTATTGGTACATTTTAGGTATACAATATAATGACATTCATCATTGGAAATTTGCACCTTTACATAATCTCTCGGTTCTTATTTTTCCCCTTTCCCCTGCCCTCCCTTCAACCCTTCCATCCCTTCCTACTTACAAAGACTTTGTTTCCATTTTTTCATTTTCTCGTATTAATTCCATTCCCTTCTTTCCTTTCCCCTGGCCCTCCCACTTCCCCTTCCCCTTTGCCCTCTTTCTTCCTATTTCACATTATCTATTATACCTTTTAGTCCTTATTTACAATTTGTTTCTCATACTAGAGAAACTATTTATTTCACTTAAGAATATCGCCTCAATGTGCATCCATTTAGCTATAAATGTCTCTAATTTCTCATTTTTTATGGCTGAGTAGTACTCCATTTTATTTTAAAAACCCCACATTTTCTTTATCCAGTCTCCAGTTGATGGACAATTGGGCTGCTTCCAAGTTTTAGCTATTACAAATTGTGCTTCTATGAACATGGGAGCACATATATCACTGTGGTATGACTCTTTTATTCAAAAGGGGCTGGATACTTACTAAAGAAACTATTTCAATTATAGATCAAGCCAAGGTATAAAACAAACTAGTTGTCTATTTAAATTTTTTCCTCAAATCAATGTAGACGACTAAATCAGCCATGGATACTGAGCTACATATTCTCTGCACATACAGTAATATGTAGTTACAATGTCAGTGAGCTCACCCTCCAGCAATTAAAAAGTTAGGACAAATATATAAATTAATAATCAGCTATATATATGTATTATATATTATATAAATTATATATAAAATTTCCCATACTATTAAAGAGAAAATGAAGGCAATGGAAACTATACTCTAAAAGAAAGAACAAGATGTTTCAAAATCACTTCTCAAATTGATATAAACTTACTAACCCTATTGAGGCATTAGAGGAAAAAAAACCCTTAAAGACAATTCTAAATGACATCGAGTTTGTTCATTTGACTTAATTTCCTGTTAAAAGACAAACAAGGTATTTCTTGGTGTGATTATAAAAAAGAATACATACTTCTGCTCCTACAAATACAGGTAAGAAAGGTAAGGCAATTAATGAGTCTATAAGGAATTATCTGTTACTTCCCAGACTGTCACCAATTCTGGACATCTTGCCACACATTTCCACCTCAATACCAGGCACACCCTGACCAAAAAGATCAGCTTATATTTCATAAAACACAGTGATATCTTTATATTTTTGCTAATTTAAAATTTCTTTTTTCTCTATCATCATCTAATTAGCTTACTATTCCAAAGGAGAAATACTAATTTGGTATTTTCAAAACTGCATTTGGTTGTAAGTATCCAATACATTATAGTTAATGATCTTTCATGAAGATCCTGTCATGAGCTTCTCAAAAATCAAATGAAATTGTTTTTCAATATTTAAGTACATAGTGTAACAAAAAGAGTTAATTAATATACTTTTAAAGCAAGTAAGTATCACAAATACAGAGATACACAGATTCAAAATTGAAAAAAAAACCTCAACATAACTTCATACTTCACATAGGTTAGGTTTAAGTGTACTTCTTGTAACTTAACTCCAAAAATACTAACAGCTTCTTTAGATAGTGTGAAAACTGTGCCACAAGGAAATCAAGCATCGTAACTAATTTTATTGTTTCTGAAGCAATTAATGCAAAAATTTTAATTTTACAATGTATTTATTCCTAGCACTCATTTTTCACCATTCAAATTAGATACTTTTATGATTTGAATTGTAATATGATTAAAAGAGGAAAAATCAAACACATAACAGCTCTTTCTGTGAAATCTCAAGAAATACTAGAAAAATTTCATAGTTAAATCATAATGAAAATACAAAACAATAAAGCTTTCTTACTCGGTAGCTACCTATTATATTTAACAGGCTTAAAATAAAATGTGTCAAAGATCAAGAGTAAGTTATCTGAGATGTCAAGTGCACAGGGTCAAAGGCACAATTTTATTAGGTCAGAGGTGATATAAATAAAATCTTGTATGTCAAAGAAGAAAGGTCACAGACAAGGTGCATATAATATAAAGACATCACAGATGACAAGTAATAACTTTAAGTAGAACATACATGTTTACTACAGATATCTTCACTGATTAAAATGAAACTTGCATGTGAGCAATATAAAATAGCCTTTCTATATCACATAACTCATATAGTATATTGCACATTTTTTCAGGAAGAAGGTAGCACCCAGAATAACTACATGATTGAACTAAGAACTTTATGAAAATTTAATTCCTTTGAACTCAAACAGTATACAAAATGAATGTATCAGTCAAATCTCAAGCCACGATGACTAAATATCAAATCACTATAAGTACAAAAATGAGATGTTATTGCACATTCTTTCAAAATCCATAAATTTAATATTGTTTCCTTCTTACCTTTTCTCACTAAAATAAAAATACATAAAACTTATTTTTCAGTTTATATAATTGCATACTCCAGACATTTTTAATTTTTTTCTAAACTATATATTTAGCTTTTAGATTAAGGGATCCTAATTACAAATAGATTTTATAAATGAAAGTTTCCTTTTGATGGGAACTACCTTATAATTAATTAAGGCAGTAATCTTCACAAATTTTTCCACTTATAAAAATTGATTTTTAAGGTATTTTCAAACTAAAGCATGCAGATGACTCTAGTTCTAAACAACAACTTCAAACAGAAAACAGGGATATAAAGAAATATTTAAGTAAAAAAAAAATCCATACCAATCTCTTAAAATACTCAATTTGAATAAAAGATGAAAATTGAAGTAATTTAAATACATAATTAATTCCACGAGTTTCATTTTATTTATATTAAAAGTATTTACAAAAAGAGAAATTTAAGGCCAATTCCAATGATACCTTCAAGCCAATGCATGTAACCTTTCAGTACAATTCAACTCATTAATCTTAACTGTGAGTTAAGTGTTATGTCAAACATCAATATACAGGAATTAAACACTACAGAGTTTTAAATCCAGCCAGAACTAACTGGCTTGCACAGGACTAACTTTCCAATAAAGTTGTACAAAACACACAAAGCAATTATTTGAAGGTGCAGCAGCAGCCAGCATAGCCAGTACTTGGGAGAGTGTGATCCCTAAGAAGAGGGGCACATGAAGTGAGCTCCACATTTATCCCAGAATTTTCCATAAGGGGTGATGCTGATTTTTGGCAGGGGAGAACAACGGAAACTTAAAGTTAGGCTTCAGGAGCTGAGGACATAGAACTGGGAGTTTAAAGCTGTCAACTGGTTGGCACTTGAGGGAAAACTCCTCCAAGGAAGAACTCACAGAGAGGTCAGCCCAAATAATGGTGTGCAATTTCCCTTCAAGTATGGGTCATATCCAGAAATCCAAGAGAAAATGGCAGCTTAATTCCTTTTGTCTAGATAATATTTATTAAACCAATCACATAATTTCAGCTTCCCAGAGCCAACCTTTACCACCTGACTCTTCCCCCTATCATCTAAAAAGGCCAGATTCTGTTACAAGACCTTCTTACACCTTCCTACTGAGAAGTTCCACAACTTCCCACCATGTTTGCCCTTATTTTATAGAGTCAATGGGCTGAGGATTTAGCTCAGTGGTTCCACCACCTGCCTCGCAAGCATGAGGTCCTGAGTTCGATCCCCGATACAAAAAAAAAAGTCAATAACCCCAATTTTATTCGACTACAGATAGTCCTGCCTGGAGAGTACCAACAAAAACCTAAGAAAAACAATTAACTACAGCTGCACATAAACAATAGAGGTGTCTTACAGACTTAAGTATGAGTGAAGGAAGTCAGACACAAACAAGTACATTCCTATGATGGCATTTTTATGAAGGTCAAGAACAGGCAGGACTGACTGACTGACTGATGGTGCTAAAAGTCAGAGTAGTTACCTTTTGAGGAACATGACTGGGATGGGGCATAGAATCTAAGGAGCAAGAAATTATATCTTGATCTGGGTGGTGTTATATCAGTGTATGTATATGTAAAAATACAGCTATGTATTTGAGATTTGTGTACTTTACTAATGTATGGCATACTTAAAGAAAAAAATTAACCAGATACATGCACCTACACACAGGAACTGCCATAACATAATGCATACTCATCTCTCCTGGGTATCCTAAGAGATATTTGAGAAGCGTGAAATCCCATTCTTGAGTTAACTGTAAAATTTCTCTATTATTAACAAAACAAATTCATAGATTACTGAGCTATACTATCCAAGTTTAAGTAACAGCTGAAAGAAAAATATTTACAAACGCATTTATACAAATCTAAATTCCACATTAACAATAATCATAGGTGAAGAAATAATGCATTTCCAAAAATCATTGAGTAGTTTATGGGTTCAAAATTATCCACTTATATGAAATATATATCATTAACTGTTTTCTAGCACATTTGGTATATAACTGAGTAATTCCTGTATTGCATTATTAAAATATCAAAATATTAACTTTTCCTTACACAAAATTATGTAAATAACAGCATTA